TGTCCCCTCCAGTGAACCCAGTGCTGTCCCCTCCAGTGAACCCAGTGCTGTCCCCTCCAGTGAACCCAGTGCTGTCGCCCTCCTGTAAACCCAGTGCTGTCCCCTCCAGTAAACCCAGTGCTGTCCCCTCCAGTGAACCCAGTGCTGTCCCCTCCGGGGAAGCCAGTCCCTAGCAGGTGGAGCATCCTTCTGGAGCTGCTGCCCTGAAGATGATTGGTTGTTCCATACTGGGATATAGTAACTTAAACAATCTTACTTTCCTTTCAGGAATCATTGAAAATGGATATGTGAAGCTCATTATCATAAATTTTAAAAATGACAGAGAACACTTACCTCTCATTGGAAAAGTTGGCTTCTCCTGGAGAACTGATGTTTTTGATGGCTGTATAAAGGTAAAAAACAGTTGTTTTCTTTTCTTCAAGTAACATGGTTTCTGTATAATAAAAAAAAGTCATTTGGCTGGCGAATGCCTGTCATCTCAGCACTCTGGGACACCAAGGCAAGAGGATGGCACCCTTGAGCTCAGGAAAACTCCTGCAGGAGTGAGACCCCCATATCTACTAAAAACAGAAAAATTAGCTGGGCACCATGGTGGGCACATTGCAGTCCCAGCTACTCAGGAGGGTGAGGCGGGAGGATGGCTTGAGCCCAGAAATTTGAGTTTGCTGTGAGCTAGGCTGATGCCACAGCCCTGTAGCTTGAGTGACAGACTCCATCTCAAAAAATAAAGTCTATTAAAACGTCTATATCAGGGGTCATCAAACTTTTTAAATAGGAGACCAGTTCCCTGTCCCTCAGACTGTTCGAGGGCCTGACTGTGGGCCCCGGGATGAGTCGGCTGCTAAACAGGACAGGCAGCGTTGGCAAAAACACCCTGCAGGCTGGATAAATGTCCTATGCTGTCTGCATGTGGCCCATGGGCTGTTGTTTGAGGATGCCTGGTATGCTTCCCTTAAAGTTCAGGGTTTATCGTCCTGGTTTCTGAAGGTTTATGCACCTGCTCTCAGCCCTTGACAGTGAATTCATTTGTCAGTGCTTATTAAGTGCCTGTTGTTTTCCTCCCGTGTGGTGGAGGAGGAGGGGAAGGGAGCCTATAGCAGTGTTTCTGGACAGTGTCCACCCCACCCAGACCTTGTGTGTGTATGGAGAGAAAGTGGAGCTGAAGGTGGGACCAGGCAAGTAGCATCTGCTCAGAACATTTCCATCACTCGTATGCCTGTGCAATCAACTCCTGTGACTGCAGGGGGCCTCCTGTGACATGGCTGTTTTGACGTGTACGGACGCCTTGTTAGAACTATTAGTGATGATGCCTGAGACCAAGAACATTGTCTCTTGAGCCACTTCGTACTTGGTACAGTCAGATGCTTTACTAATTCTTTTCATTTATAAGCAAATGTTTAAACTTTGGCAAAAGTAATATTTATTACATACAGAAGCATATCATTTCATGCCTTTAAGAACACAAACCTGACTTCTTTCTCTCTGATGGATTTAGACAGGGCTTATAATAAAAACGTGTACTAAAATAAAATATTAAAATCAAAATAGACCTTGAGGACCAAGAAACGTGGAGTATAAATATGGCAAACTTCTAAAGGGTAAGCATGATTTTTAAAAATAATTTGTGTTTGGGCGGCACCTGTGGCTCAAAGGAGTAGGGTGCCGGCCCCATATACCAGAGCTGGTGGGTTTAAACCCAGCCCCGGACAAAAACTGCAAAAAAATCAAAATCAAAATAGAAATAATTTGTGTTTTCTGGCAGTTTACAACCAAATGAAAGTTGTCATTGGGGGCCAGGGAAGTTTAGTGATTATATGAATAAACAGCTTTATCCTAGCTCTGATCATTAAAAACAAAATCTCCAATGGACTCTTATGTAGGGCAGACTACACTATGTAATGGACCAATCCTGCTTAGTATTTGAGCAGCAAACACTCTGAAAGATTTCTTAGAGCATATCTCATAGAAGTTTCTTCATATAATATAACTTCAAAACTGGACTCATGTAGGCTCCAGGTAGTGTGAACATGTGACTCAGGTACATAGGCTTCCGGAACATAGGGGATGGATTGTATGTACCTAGACAGTTTTCCCTGTAAATTCGTTGACTCAGATGGGCTTTGGCAGAAGATAGAGAAAAACTTGTACCCTCAAAAACTTGTACCCTTTCCCTCAGGCCTGGAGGGTGGCAGGTTGATTTTGCATTTTGCCCTTTATATTATTGGGTATTAATACTAAGCTGTCCTTAGAGTTCCCGAAGGAAGAACAGTCAGCTGAGTGTTGTCACATTCCTGTGTTTCCTGTGCAGATCCGGAATTTCCCTCCAGGAATCTGATGACCCTAGGTATAGTGGGTCAGTAAAATTTAAGAAATTACCTTTAAGAAGTTAAAAACATTTTCTTACATGTAAGGTCATAAGATGAAAGAAGTTTCTTAGGAGCATATGACCATTATTAACAAAAACAAAAATAAAATAAAAACCCTGTTTCTCTTGGAAATTGTAGCAACAACTTCTGGTGAGGAGCCATCTAACATTGTAGCTTATAATACCCCTCAGAGCAAAGGCTGGTGAGAAAGTGTGTCACTGAATCTGATTCTGGTTGCCGGGACCAAAAAAGTAAAAAATATTAATGATGGTGACAGAGGATGCTATTTTGTTGCATCGTGTATATTGAAGTGTTATGTGGTCATGAGAGGAATGTCTGGTGTCGTAGGGCCCTTTCTGTTCCCATAAGAATCTTCCTCCCTGGAGCTCAGAGTAGAGTGACCTTGAATGCTTGGAATGTGACTTCAGCAATTCCTGAGTTCATACAGTGTATTATTAGACTTTAAAAATTTAAAAAAACCCCAATCACAGTATAAGCAAATTTTTTTTCCTTTAAGTCAGGTTATAAAATCAAGCACATGTTAAAGATGCTTCCAGTGACTGCACGTTAGTCATGAATCCACACGGGGGGTGGTGGTGGTGGTGGTTACAAAGTGCTTTACAATCTCATTATGAACAGTGAGGCCACCCTATCAAGGTACCCTTGCCGTGATAGTCAGTATGATTCAAAATAAATACTCTCCTTGTCTGTCTTCTCTCATTTGGCAAGTTTTTCCCTGTTGTGTTCCTTTTACTTCTTTCTTTTATGCTTTGGTGGTTTGTTAATGTTATTTTGACAATACTTCTAAACTAGATAGGGCATGGCATCAATTTTAATCTGAATGGATCTTTGTGGTTTTGCCTTACGCAGGAATTGTTGAGTGCAGTGGGGCACTGTGGGCATATCGTGGGCCAGCTTGTTGTGGGCAGCTGAGCCTCAAGAAAGGAGTTTTGGCCACTTGCTGCCAAGCCCTGCGGCTACATAGATTACTGAGGCTTCTGATGCCACTGATCCAAACCCATAGGGAGGACAGGAGGACAGGGCATCCCTGTGTGTGACACTGACACTGACTTTTGAACCAGGCATAGTTCATTTTGTAGGTAAGCACTGTGACCTTATTTTTTTTTTAATTTTTAAAGTCTAATAAGGTCCTCTGACTGCCTGAGGTGACCCTGCTGGACGTTCTCAGTGAGTGACACTGACTTAGGACTGGATCGTTGGAAACAGCTCTCTGACTATCAGTGGGAGGTGGGCATGAGGTTAGGCCAGGAGATGCATTGTGGAGAAGCAACTGAGTGCAGGGAGATGCCTTGGACAGGGTAGAGAGGAGCAGCCAGGTGACAGGAGTGAGGAGGGAGAGGCCTGTGTACTGTGCTGCAGGGTGGGGGGGAACCACAACAGGTGAGGATACCCACTGGCCACACGTCTGGCACCAAGGCTGCCTTCCTGCCTACTGTTACTCTTGTGCCCGGCAGGGGCTAACCAGGGAGGCAGAGGGAGTGTGATGGAAGTTGGGGCTGAAAGGTCATGAGGGGCCTTGAAAGCCATGGAAAGAATTTGGATTTTGGTTCGAGTGTCCCTGGAAGTTGTTAAAGTGTGCCTGTTGTGCCTTAGGCCATTTTGTAGGTTACGGAGAAATTGGAGAAGGCTGGGATTTTAGAAGGAGGACTCAATCACCCTCAAAAGTCCTCTTCTGACATTATCACATTGGTGATTAGGTTATGATACGTTAATTTGGCGGGGGGAGGGGCACAAACATTCAGGCCCTGGCACCTGGAATCCAGCAGTGGCAATGGGAATGAGAAAAGGTAAGTCAACTGGAAGGACAGGCAGGAGGTGGGAACAGAAAGAGTCTGTGTTGTCTTACATGTGGAGGGTGAGCAGAGGAGGGGCCTGCGATGATGCCCAGGGTTAGGTATATACAGCTGGATGGTCAACGGGGTGACATCAGTCCCTGAAACAGGGAGTCCTGGGAGAGACTCTCTGGGACGATTAGTCATGCTCAGCACCCAGGATGTGGAGTAGGCACTTGGAAAAGAGGTTCAGCCTGGAGATGTGCTTAGATGTACTTCTGGGAATTGCTGGCACCTTGGTGATAGCTTAAGTTGTAGATGAATCCCATTTAGGCAGAGGGATTACGCTTGGTGAAAACGGGCTTAGGACCAAGCTGTGAGGAAGCCAACAGTGCGGGTCGTGGAAGGCTACCACATGGTTTGGTCTGGAAGCATTTGGGAAGACGGTTTTTCAAAGATGGTGGGCAATGGGAAAAGCTGCTGAGACGGAGGCTAACAGGTGTTCACTGGTTGTAGCATCCTGACAGAGACCTTTGGGTCAAATGTTAGAGGGAGGATGTCGGGCTGGAGTAGAGTAAGGAGTGGTTGGGAGTTCAGGGAATGGATGAACAGGTGAGGACAGCTTGGGAGGCGTCTGTCTAGAAAGGGAGGAGCAAGTAAGGGGTTATGGGTCTGCGGGAGGTTGTTTCTCCCCTTTTGTGAAAATACTGGGCAAATGTGAAGTGTAGACATAGAGGAAGTCATTGAATGAGTAAGTGGAAGACAAAAAGCCACAGATAGAGGGGCCTGAGGTGTTGACTTTGGGAGCAACGTCTGGAGGTCTCACTGGAAGGAATGACTGAGGAGAACGTGAGATTGTGTAGCTCAGGAATTGTGAGTCCAGGGTATCAGATGGCTCCATGTGGGTCCCTGTGGGTGTTGGAGTCACCAGTAGTGGTGATCTCTGGGAGAAGGTAAGAGGGAGGGAGACAGAAAGACTGGGGCCAGTGTCTTGGAAGGAAGGGGTGGGCGGAAGGTTGGCATATGACAGCAAGGGGGAGGGGCTGAGATTCTGCACCTTGAGTGGAGCAGCTGGTTTTGTACCAAATGGGCAGCGATGGGCTGCTGGTGGTAGTGAGGAGCAGTGGACTGGGCCACAGTTGGTGTGTTTGTGTGGCACCTGCTGCCTCTAGACCAAATGTGAGTTCCATGTTTGTTACACACTTCTCTGCCATCCTGGCTCTGAATACTAAACTGTATTCAGAGAATATTTGAATGAGAATGAATATTAGGTGATAAGATACATGCAATCCTAACCCTAGTCTAGAAGATAAAATAGACCATGAAATACCAATAATAGTTTTGTGGGTTTTGATGTCACACACAGTATTTTAGTTTTACACAGATGCCTATTTTTCTGTGAAAATCAGGTCGAGTTGGCTGTTCCCCTTACATTTGTAAATCTCTGTTTTATTTTGTAGAGCTGTTTCATAATGGACATAACTCTCTTGGATGAATATGGGAGGCCCTTTTGGTGTTTCAGTTCCCCAGTCTGCATGAGACCTACCACACCCTCTGACGGCCCCAGTTTCCTGGGACAGACGTACCATGTGGAATACGTGGACACGGAAGGACAGGTGCATGTGGAGCTGGTGTGGATAGAGGAGACGGAAGAGTTCTTTGTCGTCAGCCTGGTCCTTTACCTGAGCATAGGAAAAATAAACCACTGGTTTGGGACAAAATACTGAAGGTTAGCAGTAGGTGGCAAGTTAGTGTTGCTATTTAGTTGTTTATTTTGGACTGCCTAGCTTCGTTCTTGGTTAGAAGTTAAAATAAATTATACTGCTGTGGTCTGCTTGCCTCCTCCTTATTTCGTATTAGAAATTATGATTTGTGGTTCATTTTTAAGTTAGTGTTTAAGTGATTAAGTTATTTTTTAAAACCACATAAATAGCACAGTCCAATGCAAATTTACTCTCCTGGCACCTTAAAATTGCAGGATGATGTAAGTTGGTCTTTACATTCGTTATGAGTCATTTTAATCTAAGGATTTGCATACACGAGTTCTGGAGTTTGTTTTTAATCTGGCAGTACTTTCTCTGTTGTCTTTTTCTCTTTTATTAATGAACTATTGTTCTTTCAGGATTGATTCTCTGAAATCTCTTATCTTTTCCATCTTGTTTTCTATATTTTAGTCTTTTGTTCTGCTTTTTGTAATATTGCCTTCAATTTTGTTTTAAAGTTTTATTGAATTCTTTTTATTTTGATGATAATGTTTTTACTTTAAGAACTCATTTTTTGTTCCCTATAAAGCATTTATAAATATAAAATTTTTATTTTATAAATAGTAATGTAAATATAAATTTTGTTTTATAAACATAAAACAAATATAAAATTTTCTCTGAAGCAGGTGTGAGTGCCCTTTCTATAACGGGCCAGATGATAGCTTAGGCTTTGTGGCATCTGTTGTAACCACTTTGCTGTGCCACTGTAGTGTGGGGTCAGCTGTCAGCAATACACCAATGAACAAGTATGGTTGTGTTCCCTCTGCACTCCAGCCTGGGTGACAGAGCGAGACCTGGTCTCTTAAAAGTTAAGTTTTACTTTGTTTCTATATACAAAGGTAATAAATTTAAATAAACATATATAAAGCAGAATATACGTGAAAACCTTCTCTCTAAACTGCCCCTACTTGTATTAGCGAGCACAGCCTCCTACCAATTGGATGTGTAGTTTTCACATGGAGGAGGAGCTGGATGGGAACAGGAGGATGAGGAGCTGGGGGAGTCCCTGTGGGGGTCCAGGTGGAAGCACAGGTGTGTTTTCTTGGCCAGGGATTATTGGGGGTGACAGGAAGAGAAATGGGCCAAGATATGCAGAACATAATCTTATGGGAAAAGGATTTACACTGGTATAGATGTTTTGGTGAGCAGAGTTTTCTGATCATTAGCAGTTTAACCAGTAAATCTACCCTGGTGTTTCAGTTCCCCAGTCTGCAGGAGATCTACTGCACCCTCTGGTAGGCCCTTTATAATGCCTTTCTCCAGTTTCCTAAAGGACAACACACTTTTTAAAGCAAGGGGTTCAGTTTGATATTCATTGTTCATTTTTTAGCTTTTGTCTTTTAAAACATCCTTAAGGAATTGTACAACTACTGTTCAAAGAACTGATGCCCATTTCCCTGAATACCTTTGATCATATTTCTTTTCTTGTCATACCATAGACATGGCCACTGCAATTAGGAGATTAGCTTTGACTGGTCAACTATTATCCCATTATTAAGCCCTCATTCAAGTTTTGCCAGTTGTCCCAATAGCAACCTCACAGTACAGGGATCAGGATTGGGATCGCGTTGGCTGGACTTCCTCTTTTGCCCTGGACCAGCTCATCAGTCTTGACTGTTACAACCTTGGTACTTTTGATTGTCGCAGGCAGTTATTCAATAGAATGCTTCTCAGTGTGGGCTTGTCTGCTGTTAAGCATCTTTGGCAGGACTATCAAAGGAGTGGTGCCGTGTTCTGATGGAGGCCACGTGATCTCAGTTTCCCCCCTTACTGAGATGTTCCCCTGCAGCCACTGGATGACAGGTGTCAGACAAGCTCACGCCTGGGACCCGCCTCCTGTGTGTGCAGCCTCCTCGCTCAGGTCCTGACACCTCACATCAGGCGCCTGGTTTGTAGAGTGTAAAAGATTTAGTTGAAGCCCTCAGCACACCAATGCTTGGTGGACAAAAGGCAGAGTTCTGGGCTACTCACATCTCTGGACAAGAGGAGGCTGCCAGGCAGGTGCACAGTCAAGCGTGTGTAGTGAAGCACGTCCCGCCTAATGCAGCACAGCTGCTTGTAGAAACTCTCAGATCAGATCAGCGGCACTGGCGTGTGCTGCCCAAAGGACCAAGAACAACCAGGTCACTTTGAAGAAGCACCAGTGCGAGGCCCGCTGCACCACACGGGGAGACTGCGCAGGCCTTGGGACGTGAGTGTGCCCTTTGGTGCCGCAGAGAAGTCGACACGTGGAGCAGAGCATGGCACTCGGGACAGACCCACACAGACGGACACTGGTCTCGTGTCAAAGGCCTCCCAGAGCAGGAGGGGAAGAAGGGGCTTTTTCATTATGATGTGGGGACAATTGCATAGCCATCTGGAAGAAACAAAAGCAGGCCTACTTCACATCATGCCAGGAACACGCCAGGTGGCTTATAGACCTAAATGTGGAAAGCAAAGTTTCCAGACAATAACATGAGCCCCCTGCCACTCAGCAGCAAAAGGACAAATAACCCATTAAAAGGTGGGCAAAGGACTTGAATAGACATTTCTTCAAAGAAGTTATGCAGATGGCCAGTAGGTGTATAAAATCCTTAACATTACTCATAATTAGGGAAATACAAATTAATACCACGACGTTAGATCTCATCGCTGAGCACTTGGCTGAGCTAAGGCTTCTGTTGGCCCCACCACAGTCAGACAGAGTAGCACAGGTAGCTAGATGGGGACGTCCTGCCTTGGACCTGGGAATGTGCTGCTTGCTTGGGGCAAGGGCCAGGAGCGAACCTCCCAGGTACTCAGTATGAAGAGGTCGCTGCTGTTTGTCCTGCCATCCCCCACTCAACAGCAACACTGTTCTCTGGGCAGGCAGCTCCACACTTGTAATACAGTGAGGACCCCATGCCACACGTGACCCCAGTATGGAATTCTGCAAAGAAATAAATGTGCCATGAGAGCAACAAGACCAGAGGTGGCACCAGCACAGTGGCAACAGGGCAGAGGTCATGCTGGTATAAAGTGTGCAGGGAGGTGGACGCTCACGTGGGTTTTAGTCATGCGACAACAAGCACATGGCAACACTCTTAATGCACAAAGATACATGGTCTCTGCACGTTCCCTCTCCCTTTTCTTCCCTCCAGAAACATTAATAGGTTTAGGTTTAATTTTCTGGGAAAATATTCCATGAGAGTTCTGAATCGTAAATCAAGGCCGGCAGGACTTCACCCTGAGCTAGATAATTGTGTTCTTACTCCCCCATTGGTGCAGAGTGCAGAATGACAAATCACACAGTAATAAGAGCAGAGTCCCTCGTGGGCTGATGGACGTCCTTAGACAGTCTGGTGGAGGACAGGGTTCAATACTGAGAAACCGAAAACAGCAAAGAGCCACTTTTATTCAGGCTCCTTCCCAAATTATTAAATTCAATCCAACAAATATTTACTGAGTACATAGCAGGTGTAAATGATTGCCTGTCTCTTTGCAATATTTGCTCTATCACACTCTGTAATAAGATTTGTCTATGATTCAGCAGTCGTGGCCCTGTTTTCAACCATCAAATATCTATTTAACTTGAAGATATGCCTAAATTTTCAGAGCCCAAATTAAAGTTCCTGGGCAACTTTTTCTTTAAAATTTTACTAAAATACTCGGAGAGACTGGATAGGCAACTTTCTATGAGGAAATAGACACTCCCCATGAATTAAAAAGGGGTTCAGAACTGTTTGTCACTTGCTGTGTTAGAGCCTTAGAGAAGTGCTCTGTGTGAAGAAAGCCTGGCCGGGCAGTGGCTGTGCCGTCACAAGCTGTGTGGCTGGTACTGGGCACTGTGGAGTCATTCTCCCCCTTCCCAGCAGCTCTGCTGGAGTGCGCCTGAAGGAAGACACTAGACATGTGGGTGAGGGAGGCAGGTGCAGCTGAAAATGCTCACTTTAGAAAGTTCTGAGCGTTGTGGCTGCCTTACAGTGTTTACTGTAACCATCTGGGCGTTGGAGGGAGTAACTGTGTCCTGGTTCTAACTTTGAGGTTCACTTTCAGAATGACCTTTACGATGTCAGTTAGCAAATCTTGCTGATCAAGTTGGCATGCTAAATAAAGCCTGCCAAGGAAACAGGTTGACTTGACGAAGCTTCAGACTTCGTTACAGTTTGCCAAGGGAGAGAGATGGCGGTAATGAGTGGATGTCCTGCTGCACCTACCATGTTTCCCAGAAAATAAGACACTGTCTTATATATTTTTTTCAAGAAGACACACTAGGGCTTATTTTCAGGGGTTGTCTTATTTTTATTAAGTATAATACAACAATCTACATTTATTCAAATACAGTTAAGTCATCTTCTTCTGGGACCTGACAGGGGGCGCTGACCTTGTTAGTGGGGCTGGTGCTAGTGATGTGTGAAGTCCTTTCCCCTAGCTGTTTGCACATGTGCAATAGGATGCCTGTGACTGTGGTTACCACACGCTCACCCACGCAAGTGCAAACAGCTCAGAGAAAGGAGCTGTGGCAGATAAAAAGTATTCCAGTCTTCCTTACTGCTCCATGCCGAAATGCATGGTGTGGCTATGCACGCCCATCACTAAGTCTTATTATTGGGGTAGGGCTTATATTTAACAAATGCATAGAAATCCTCTAGGGCTTATTTTTTGGGTAGGTCTTATTTTCAGGGAAACAGGGTACACGCGGTACTCAGCCAACGCATGTCACATCCACACAAGCTTGTTGGGGTGAATGTTGTTAAACATCTTTTCTTGATTTGACTCAAATAATGAAACCACTAGAAAAGAGGTGCTATGTTTATGTAATTAGACAAGTTATTTTTAGAGGTAAATACTAGAAATTGTGCCCAAGTCTCTGCCCATAGGTCATTTTACAGCTGTTTGTGTCCAGAGAAGTTAATAGCTTAGCTTTGGGGATATACATCAGTGAAATTCCTCAGCCAGAGCTACTTTCTGGGAGATCTATATAATTAGGATGAAATTCACCTAAA